ATATGATCATATATTACTTCCAATTGTGGAAAACCGTAAACGAAACATGCAATACAAACTGTAACCCTAGTTAATATGTGTAAAAAACTGAAAATTTATATTATGAAGTTGTGAGCAAATAAAACACTCTAGTCTCATAGTACATGTTCACACATGTCCATACATATAAAAAATGTCCAAAACAAAGTTCGTACGAAAACATATACGACCATTATAAGAAACCAAACCAGTATAATACTAACTTTCTTTAATATGCAAAAACCGTTTTGATCCGTTGAGACACTTGTACAACTCAGATGGAAATGTTGAGAACGTTTTTGGATACAGGTTATTATATATTATTTGATTCCATACTCGAAATATTTTTAATCAATTTTTTTGAAAAAGTCGAAAAATCGGACATTTTTGGTCAATTAAAGGTGAATCTTTCAACGCGATTTTCCAGAGTTCTACAAATTGAAAAATTTACCTGTTCAGGGTTTTGGAATCCTTGAACTCGGCTCTATCATTCACCCCTTTCAAAAAAAAAATTGGGTTCGGGAATTTGACACACAAATCTAGGAATGTTTTTAGGACTTATTGTGATTAATGAAATCACCATGACCACCTATGATTGTAAGGAAGTAGAAAAATCAGAGAAGTTTTCTTCTTCTATTGTCCATTCCCACATGCATATCATCCCCTCACCTCCTCCGCTACCCTTTCACCTCAATGATACAAAACATAGACATATCTTAAGTGTTTGACTTTCCATAAGGGGATAGCTTGGATGGTATGGCTAGAGACTTGCATGAGGTTTACTAAGGCTATTAAAAGAGGACCTTGGATTCTCATTTCCACACCAATTCACAAACATTAAATCTTCAATCTCCCACTCTTAATTTCCTACTCTCTCTCAGTTTAGAGCCACCACCAAGAATCACCATCACCCATCGAAGATCACCACTGCCAGCCACCTCTTTCTTCTTGTGTTTCGACGTCCAGCCACCACCCAACACCCCCTGCCAGATGCTCTGTCTCACCCCTCCTATCATTATTTGTTAGAGAGAAAAGAAATGGCAACAATGCTACATTAATTGGTAGCCCTACCATCGTCATCACCGCCTTCGACCACCCCTCCCTTTGTGCCACCTCGTGTTGCTATCTTTTTGTGGTATTTACTAGATCAATAGTCGAGTTTTTGGTGCTGCTTTGTGGGATTAAATCAAGTCCAAACCCGGATTAAATTTCAATGCTATTCATGCTATCTCACATGGGAATCTCTAGAGGCTACAACTTACTATGTGGCCTATGATGCTCCGCCTTGACCATCCTGCATGTCAAGCATCTCTCGACGTACCAAGCGATTTTTGGCTTCATACACGACCACCAGTAACTTAAACTCAAATCCCGGTACATCTTAGTGGCTCCCAGGTGAATAAATAAGTGAGACTTATGAGCCTCCTCCATAACCGTCTGTCTAACCGCACCAGGCATCGAAACCTATACCCAACCGCATCAGGTCAACAATCCTTGGCTATCCTGCACAAATCGGGCGTTCTCGCTCCTGACCCTCTCTAGCTTCTAGTTCTCTGGTAGCATGCCCTCAGCCCGAGCCTCTCTAATCAAACTCAAGAGCGGAGAATCCAACGATATCCTCATACATGTTGCTGGTGTGGAAGAACCAGCTGACTTGCAACTCAGAGCGTCTGCCACAATGTTCTCTTTACCTGGATGGTAAATGTGACAACCCAAAATTTTTATTCGTACAAACCCTACAGTCAAGCACATCAATTAGAATTTAAATACTTTTCTGCTAATTTTTAGTCGGTTTAAAGTCCGTTTGAGTATTTTTAATAATTATTCTTGAAACGAATGGATAAAAGGGAGTAATTACTAGGATATCGGGGTAGCAATGGAACAATCAACACCTTAGATTGGTGTTCATAGCCAAACAAAGAGGGTTTGTGTCGTGAACTCTCTTAAGGCCGCAAAGTCATGCATTAGGCATGAGTTTACTCTCCATTCTTTCATTTCTTAACTTCCAAACTCAAGAACACTTACCATTCTCTTTCAAGTATCATCCCACTCTTCACCCGATCTTCCGAAAACGTAAGTGTTTCTTAACTTGATTTGTTGTTATAACCTAACATCTAGTTGTTATACATCGTTTCATCCATTCAATATTGATTTTCACTTAGATCTTCAAGTGTCCTTCAAAACACTAAGAACACCAAGAACATACACTAGTGTTCTTGGACCTTAAACACCCAATCAAGCTTCTATCTTGTAAGTACACTTGCCCTAGCTTATTGTGTGCTTAGAATAAACTTGTTTACACTTAGAAAACACCAAGAAACACATGATCAAAGGTTTTTATGGCCAAGGGATGTTCTTGGGCCATAAACCCTTATAAGTGGTGTTACATGAACCCTAGTCCCTTCCTAAGCCTTGGATGCTAGTCTTGATCCTTCCTTGAAGTGTTTAGGACCTTAAAAATCAATGAAACCTTGTCCCCATAAGATTTTACGACCGTAAACACATAAGGAAATGGTCCTTAGGCCATAAACTTTATAATGTAGTGATATTGTGCCCCTAATGCTTCCTAAGGCTTAGACTTGATCAATGGATGCTCAATCTTGACTTATAAGACCTCAAAAAACCAAATGGGACTGAGTACCATAAGTTTACGGCCATAAAATCATGGGGAAATGACCATGAGCCATAAACTCCATAAGGAGTGGTTCTTGGGCCATAAACTCCAATGTCATTCCATTCAACCTTTAGATGCAACCCTTTGGTACCTATAACACTTGAATCAATGTGTTTCCATTTCCTAGGGTGTCTTAGCTTGGTTAGTTAGTTATTAAATGACTAATTAGATACGTATATGTTTTATTATATGTTAACTAGGATCATTGTGTGTGTTCAAGTCTTCACTTGACACCTAGCACCTTGTCCAACACTTCCGTACAATCTACTCACTACAGGTGAGTTCATACCCCTCAATTAACCTTTTAAATATTTTCAGACACTTTTATGGGGGGGGGGATACAAGTTGAATCATGTTAGTTATTAGATCAATCACATGTGATTAATAACTAGCATACAAATAGACTTTCCATACTTTAAACTGTTTTATTAAACACATGACTTCAAACTGCTTATCAAACTATTTTACATCTTAAACTTCTTATCAAAATCACTTTTGTATACCAAACATTTCTTTTACAATTTTCAAACTTATATATTGTTAAAACCATGTCTACTACATATATAGTTATATAAATAAGGTTTGAAGGAATTAGGACTGATAACTCACTTTACTTCCTGTTCCTTGTTTGGTTGTGGACTTAAAGTACTCGGTTGTTTGTCCGAGTGTCGTTGAATCCTTAGTTATATATTATGTATATGTGTATAGATATAAAGACTTTTATCTCAGTTCAGCACATTCAGTCATACAAACAAGTCTACTAGTAAACTATAATAGGTATAGTTTAGGGTTATACTACTTACTACTTCTAGTCCAATGAACCATACAAATATTCAATTCATTCATGAGTCAACACTTACTATTACGAGAAACTATACAATGATACTATGATGAGAAACAATACATTCATTACACAAGTATATTCATTACATATACAAGTATACCATAACATAAATTTGATCCAATGTATCGGAGCATGGCTTCATTGCCATGGCCCGAGTTGTAACCAGAATCTCCTGTAGGGAGAGCGTGAATTTGCGTATAGATCTATACTGGATTGACTATCCTACACCATATTGCTAGCTACAGTGGGACCTGCAGGTCTTCGGGTGCCAAATGTCATACCTTTTGATGACTTATATTGTCGTGTTCGTAGTTGATAGTATGGTACAATTAATCACATAATACCTTGATGTAAATCCGGTTTAAGGTAGTTAGTACACTAGTAGTTATTATAATACAACACTATAGTAATACATTAATTTACCCTTTACATTTATTTGGTGATCACTTCACTTAAAAATTAATGTACAAACTATAGTTTGATAATGATAGTTACATTTGGGAAAATTACACACTTTTACAAGAAACAAACATACAAACAGTTGTGCCTTGGAAGAAGGCTACTTTTAGTAGAAAATACAGGATTTTCTAGGAGTTACAAACTTTTACAAACACTTACAAACATTCACATACTTTTACTACAAATGCTTACAAACTCGTACTTCAAACATTGTTTCAAACATTTTGATACAATCATAGACACTAAATACTTATGAACTCACCAGCTTTAATGCTAATAAACTCTTTCAAAATAACTTGTATTCTCAGGTTATCGGTAGATAGGTATTGATGCCAGCTTTTGAGAAGATGGAGCGTATACAAGACTCATCTTTTATTTTGATTTATATTCTGGTGTCTTATAAACTACAAAACACACTTGTATTAAAATTATATATTTAATGCAATGGATGATGTTGTTTACTTGTTTACTATTATACTGTGTTGTGATACTATACATGACGTCCTCCACCCCAGAACGTTTCTGCCGTTCTTGGTTTTGGGGTGTGACAGATTGGTATCATAACATCGTTTATAGTGAATCTAGTATATCAACTTGAAAGACCCCAACTTTCGTATTTCACAATATTATTACTCCAAAACATGCTACTTGCATATTCATAAAAGCAATATTTTACACTGATAAAGGGATTACAAACTACTGGATACAAATCGACTATTAAAAAGTGTTATATATTATATAACTACCCAGGATATTCACTACAAGAAACAGACCTTTTTACGACGCGCAAACCATGACGCTCAGTGATTTATGTTACGCAAAAGAGAGTGACATTAAAGTGTCATCTCTTCAAAAAATTTAAAGATTTTGGTCACGCATTATTGCACGCCCTTAATTTAAGGTCTCATGTAAAAAAAATTAAAAACACGGAGGGCACTTTATCTAAAATGAGCGTCCTCACTGAATGTCGCTTTATGATTTTTACTCAAAACGCGTGTTTCTAAAATGTTTAAATACCCGCTTCAAGATCTCCCTTCGTTCTCTTCTTCCCTTCTCTCTGCAAACCCTAATCGTGATACCATCTCTACTATACACCTCCGCACCTCATATAATAATTCTATAATTTTTTTTCTTAAAAACTCGCGTTCATTCCTGAAGATCACAAAATGGCGACCAACAATTAGGGCTTTTATTTCCCACTTACATATAATTGTGATTTTAGTCAAGAGTTTCAAAAATGCCTCCCTCACGTACGCTTTTATTCTTCAATCTCACATCCAACAACTAGGGCTTTTATTTCCTCACAGCAACTGCAAGGTTCGAGGCAAAACTTCAATCGATTTGGGAATAGCGCGAGAATTGAAATTACGGATCTGTAATCGGGTGCCTAGAATAACGAAGCGTCAAAACTCGAATCTCAAGAAAGAATCAAGATGGAGACGAGGCAAAGCAGTAAGCCAGTAACTCTCAAGAATCATTTATTCTGTCTCTCTCTTAATTTCTGAATTTTGGATACATCCGATTTCCATATACCCTCGTCCATCTTTCTATCGACTTCTGAATACCTCTCTATAGCTTGTGATTTTCTCATATTTTAGTTGCAAAACACGTGTTGCAGATCCTGCTTCTTTGGACCGCAATGATTAGGCGTCGCCAAGCGCTTTTGGGAGTTTCTTTTTGACATCAATCAGGTACTTTACGTGTTAATAGATTTCTAGGGCTTATGTATGTTTCAGTTTCTATGCAACTTCCCCAAATTAATCTAGATAAACTTCTAGGGTTTGTAATTTTTTAGGTTATATGAAGTGATTAGGTTAATTTACTCATAGTTTTGATTATTATTTTTTTTATCATCATGTCCAGGTCCCTTCTCTAATGTGTTCCGTGAAATGATACTCTCCTACATTATGCAGCCATGTTGTATAAGCTTAGCCATTACACCTGCAAATTCAAATTTGGCAAACTCAGATGCACTTCAAATGGCTGGGATTGCTGATCCTGATGGTGTTGTCAATCGTTGTCAAGAGGTAACTTATTCTTAAATTTGATTTGAGAAAGGTTGTGAATAGAGTGGCAGATTGCTGTGGGATCCCTAAATTGGCCAAGAAATTGAATAAAGTATGAATATTTACTACCTTCACCCTTGTTTGATTAAGGGTAGTTTTGGTTTTTTCATCTAACAAGTACCATCTTGGTAGTTATATCTTATTTTGTTTGTTTACTTATTTTATTATCACTAGTTTGTTTTATCTTAGTAATTTTGCTTATATAGCTTATGGTGTTCATCAAGAATATGTATTTCATCAAGAATATGGTATTTTCATCTAACTAGTACCATCTTAGTAATTTTGCTTATATAGCTTATGGTGTTCTCTATTTTGCACACCTAACCTGCTTTGGAGTTTAATCATTTTATATATTTTCATTCATGAATATGTATTTTGGTGACATGCAGGTGAATGTGCGGACTCATACTGCAACTGTGGCCCCTAAACTTGAACATCATGAATTTATAAAGGAATTGAAGCAGTTGCACAAAGCTCAGGATGATAAGGTAGTGAAGACACAACCGAAAGATGTTACTACTGTTAAGTTAAATGAATTGAAAGAAAAAAGAAGGTGCCTAGTTAATTTCCTTGTCTCAATTTCAGAGTTCTACTAACAGATTACAATCTTTGAATTTTCTTGACTCAATTTCCTTGTCTCACAGTTTGTTTTGGACTATGGAGCTGTTCAAGCAGATGCTTTAACAGTGGATCGGCTCGCCTCCTTGGAAAAGGTATGCCTTAATTGATTACTCCTGATTTTAGTTGCAAAGTTTAGAAAATGGTTCTTATAATTACATTTTGATCATATCAGTTATCCTATCTTGTTCTGAAAATTATGTTTTTTTGGTATTTAATGTCATTTTCTTAATGCCTGTTGGTTTTACTGTAGTATAATGAGACAACTGTTGCAACTTGTACTTCTGTTTTGGCTACAGAAGTTGAGAGGATCAACTCCATCAAGGCATACTTATTGGTAATAACTAATAACCTGCTTATATTATATATGTTTCTCTAATTCAGGCTTTATTTGTGCACATTAAAGTCATGTAGCTTGTTAATCTTTAATGAAGCATCTAAGTTATATATATTAAATATTCACATGCTTATATTATATATGTTTAGACAGGGAAAATTGTAGAAAAACTAACAGAAGCTAATTTGAGAGACTGCAACCATTTAAAGGAACTTATCTATGTGTCAGAAGGTAAATACTAAATATTATTCATGTTCTTTACTCATTACACTAAAGGAACTTTACTTTATTTATATTTGAATTTTTTTTTACAGGGGGATAAATGAGACCACTAGCTTAGAAGAAAATAACGAAAAAATTCATATGATGAGGCTGTTGTGCTATTTTTCATTTTATTTTGATAAATCAATAAATTATAGCATGATGCTATGGTTTATTTCCTTTACAGCAATGTATTTTCACTTATACTATTGGCAGATAACATTTTTTTTAGCTAGGTTCTCTTGCAATTGATGTATAAGTGATATTTAATTTATAAAGGGTAAATTTGTCATTTTGTGTTCCATTATTCTGCTATCTATCTTTACAATGAGAAATTGCTGGAAGGAATTATACTATTTTAATTTTAATGTGTTTTTGTTACCATTTATATATTAGGCTGCTATCCATGGATTTCCATCTATTTAGTTATGGATGAACATTCCCTTCCATGTTCATGGATTTGGATGTTGTTGTGTTTGGGAAGCAAAGGTAGCATCCCAACGTCACCTAAATGTAACAAAAGCAACAGGTAGCTCCTACAAAGTACAAATTAAATAGGGGTTAATATGGTAAATTTTTTGTATGTAAGATTAAATTACGAAAATTAGTACATGAAGATGGTTTCAAGCATATAGAATTTGATAGGAATGAAAAGCATTAGGGTGGGTTCCTTCGATCCATGCTCTATGCTTGATTGCAGAAATAATATTTATACCCTAATGTTTAGTCATTCCAGTTTCCAAGTATACCAAAAGAATCAGTTTTACCCATAACAATTCAACTGCTTTGAACCCATTTGGCTCTATAAATGACAAATCAGAGATGGTTTAACAGAGATTGGAAAGGTAAATTACACTTTTTGCCCCTGTGTTTTGCTGATTGTACACTTAAGGCTCTAGTTCCTGAATTTAAAAACATTTCTCATCCCTAAAAAGTATTTTTCGTCATGCTTTTAGGTCACGAACTGTTTGCTTTGAATTTTAAACTGTTAACCCCATATACATGTTTCTATAATGTCATAAATTGATAACTAATTATTTGTTCTTTTACAAAATACAATTGTTTTAAGAAAATCAGTATGATAATGTAAGCAACTGAAACCATTTGCTTACAAAATATAAAAAAAATACGGGTACTTTGTGACTAAAACTTTTCATTTGCTTACATTACAATAATAAAAAAATGGAATCAACAAGAATAGTAAAATCGATAATAAATGTAAAAGTAAGGGGAAGATCGCCATTTTATTAATTTTCTTTTTCCTATCATCAAGGCTGAAGCACGACACGAAGACATATTAGGGCAAAAAAAGAAGGAATCATTGATGGATTTCGTGTAGCCATCAATAGTTGTTGCTCCTGCATGTAAGTTGTAATTTCTGTTTTATTGAATTATAAAATTTTTGTTTGTTTCTAGATGTGATTATAGCAAGTTGTTTTCATTTCTTTGTATATATGGATTACATTGTATCCAATGGTTTTCTGTTCCAAAAAAGAAGATGAAGTTTTAACGTAATTTTGTTCAATAAGTTAGTTGCTTTTTTCTCTTTATTGACACAAAAGAGCTAGAAGCTAAAGTTTTAACATAATTTTGTTCAATAAGTTGTTGCTTGATCTATCCTGATGTAGGTTGGAAATACAAAGAAAAATGCAAGAGAGAGTTTTGCATATGGAGCTTGTGGTCAAGTATGTTGTACAAATGTTATGCCTTTTTCCTTTTTAACATAAAATACAAAGGTCAAGTATGGTCTACATATGTTGTGATGTGATGATTTTATGGTTTGATTCATCAGTTTGGTCACATGAAAACCAACAAACACTGCCCCAAGTACACAGAAAATTCCAACATCAAAACACTTTTAAAAAAAATAAAAAAGTACATAAATTTGACAGTGTGTGTTGCTTGATACAGTAACCAATTCCTTCAGCAAGCCAAAGAACAAAGATCGATTACTCCAGAGACTCAGATCAGATGTGTTGCCAAGAACCTCGTGTTCTTTTGTCTGACTACCCATGTGTCTCATTGGAGGAAGCTCAAGGTTCTTTACTTCTTTTACACTGTGATAATCCATCTTCACATTTATTTTGTAGTTATGTTTTTTTTGCAGGCAATATAGATACTGTGAGCAAGTTCATAGGTTTAGAGTCCTTAAGTGGTGTTATTAAGGAAGAGTGGAGACAAGTGAGGTATACATTTAAAAAAATCAGCAAAAATCTTGTTTACAGTGAGGCACACATTAGGTTATTAGAACTATTAGTTTGTAAATTTTTGTTACAACTTCTATTGATTTGTTTTATTTTTCTATATATGGAACGATTATTTGTATGACATAAACTTTTATGTAATGGATTGTATTTTTTGTATAGATATTTTATTTTCTATTATGACACATTAAATACAAATTTAAATTGAAAATTAATAAATCTATAAATAATATTCTTTTTAAACATTTAAAATTATGATACGCAAAACTGTGTGTCATCTTCATTTATGACATAGCCTTTCTTGACAGGGGCTTTCTTGATACGCATTGCGTGTCATTAACATGCGCATCATAAGGTTACGACATGTGAATGCGTGTCGTCTTCCTTTATGACAGGACCTTCCTTGATACACATTGCGTGTCGTAAACGCGCGTCGTAATTGCACGTCGTAAATGAGCGTTGTCTCTCTTTGTGATAGGGCCTTTCTTGATGCGCATTTGCGTGTCGCCTGAGCCTTTTACGACGCGCAATGAGCGTCGTAAAAGGCTGTTTTTCTAGTAGTGCATCATTTGTTAAAGGCAAACATAATATTAAAAATATCAATCATTGACTTGAAGGAAAAAGAAAGCAATTTCAATCATGAAAGTATTCTCAAGTGCAAAACGAAAGTGAACATGAGAAGTATTAGAATGAGTCAATGAGTGGGAGTACATCTCAAGAATCCTTACCAAAAAAGTAGGGAAATGAAAAGAAGTGAAAAAGGAAAAAATTAATGTTTCTTAGAAAAAAGTTGAAAAGGAAAAAATCAAAGTTGACACTTCGATATTGAATGATTATATTCCAATGCCAAAGGCTGATAGAGTTGACTTAATTACCAAAATCAAAACTAAAGTTTGAAGTTGGGTTTTTAACTCTTTACTGCGGTTTACATTTCACACTAATATCGAAGGACCCAAAAAGCCTTGTGGATGTAAATCTCTCTAATTGAATGAAGTTACTATGTGACAAGCAATATGACGAAAACTAGTATATTGATAGTGGATGCTCGTGTCACATACTGGCAAGAAGGAGAATTTGAGGAGATTTTGCAAGTTAAAGAATGTTGGAGTTGTTATGTTTGAAAATAATCAAAAATGTCAAGTTAAAGGTTATGGGAAAGTGACAAATGCAAAGTTCACTGTGAAACGAGTTGCTTATGTTAAAGGGTTAAAGCATAACCTCATAAGTGTTTCTCAACTCGTACTTGGGAACTGGGAATAAACTACTTTTGATGAAGAAGGAAGTGTGATTTCTAATAAAGACACGAAAGAAGCATTGTTGAAATTGAAACGAAAAGGAGACAAGTTCACTCTCGACAAGAAACCAATTGTTGGGATTCCTTTTGTTTTTCTGTTGTCGAAAGCTACATATGAACTCTGTTGGCATTGGCATCATAGACTTTTTCATCTTAATTTTAAAATTTTAAATAAACTTGGTTTAAATGATCTTATTCGTGGTCTACCTTTATTAAAATTTGACAATGATTCTTTAAGTGTAGCTTACAAATAAGGAAAACAACATCATCAAGGATATCCAATCACAATTGATTCAAAGATCATTGAACCGTTGGAACTTCATCACATAGACTTGTGTGGACCTTCGACCCTTGAGTCACTCAATAAAAAGAAGTAGATACTTATTGTTGATATTTTTTTCACGATTTACTTGGGTTTTCTTTCTTAGACATAAATCCAAAACAACTCAAGTGATGATTGATTTTATGAAAAACATTGAACTGAGTTTGAAAAAGAAAGCTCGTAAGTTAAAATGCAACAACGGGACAGAGTTCAAAAATCGAATTTTTGATTTGTTTTTTACTAAACTTGGAATTTCACATGACTTTTCGTCTCCTTACACACCATAAAAACATAGTGTTGTCGAAATTATTAAGTGTAATGGAATCGACTTGTTGATCAATATTGCTTTGATAAATATTGGACATGGATAGATCTCATGGCTAGGGTCAAATTTGAGAAAATAGACTTGATTTTAACATACTGTTTCTGGACCTGCTTTTAAAGTAGTTAGTGACAGTTTCATATAGGAAGTTATTTTCATGTAACTATCTTTTAGCAGTGTTAAGACATGAAGTTGTTCATGTTATTTGGACAATTTTCGGATCATTGGTACACAAATTGAAAATCATAAATCTAAAATATTATATGTTCTTACTAGTGAGTTTCATCTTATTAAAGTTTTTAAGAACGCCATTCATAATACTTTTATTTTAAAGTGAATCTCACGGCTCACGGATTACCCAAGTAATTCGAACTCTTAACCCATGTTCATAACAAAGCTTGATCAAATTAAGTGTATTTAATATCTATAATCATTTAAATTGTTTGTGTTATTGGAATATGTAAACTATTAACTTATTGGTAATATACGTAATCATATTTAAATATTTAATATAGAGAAATTTACAAAAATAACCATTTACACTAATGATATTACAAAAATAGCCAAAAAAAATCGAAATTACAAAAATAACCACCCATTTCGCAGATGAGAAGGTCCCATCTGCGAAATGGGCTTCTCATCTGCGAAAGTACAAGTGCCTAAAGCACAGTTGTGCTTTAGGCACTTGTACCTTCGCAGATGGCCTTTTTTTTTTTTTTTTTTTTTTTAAATTTTTGTGAAAGTACAAGTGCCTAAAGCACAGTTGTGCTTTAGGCACTTGTACTTTCGCAAATGAGAAGGTCCCATCTGCGAAATGGGCTTCTCATCTGCGAAAGTACAAGTGCCTAAAGCACAGTTGTCCTTTAGGCACTTGTACTTTCGCAAATGGCCTTTCTTTTTTTTTTTAATTTTTGCGAAAGTACAAGTGCCTAAAGCACAGTTGTGCTTTAGGCACTTGTACTTTCGCAGATGAGAAGCCCATTTCGCAGATGGGACCTTCTCATCTGCGAAAGTACAAGTGCCTAAAGCACAACTGTGCTTTAGGCACTTGTACTTTCGCAAAAATTTAA